CCCTTTTCCCAGGAACGCGAACAGGGCAGCCCGCCCCAGTCCAAAGAAAGCCCTGCAGTTAGAGATAGGATGGTAAGATCCCTCTCCTTCCCGGTGGCGTTTTTCGCTTGTCCAGATACGGTCCTACATTTCCCCAGCTGCTCTTTCTCTTCCCTTTGTTTCTCCGCAGAAGGGAATTCCTCCACTCAGTGCCTCTGTTTTGTCTCCCTCGGTTTGCAATCACGCACATCTGGGGCCGTCTGCATTTCCCATTTTCTTCCTAGTGGACTCCGTCTCCTTTCCTCCCAGACTCTTGGGGTTGAGAGTCCTTTGGCTTCAGCCCTCCTATGTTTGAGAGACGGGGAAGTACAGATTTCCCTATCCTGAAAAATGTTTAACAGCTGAAAAAATTAGCTTTGTTTTAAAAAGTCTTAAATTATTTTTAAAAATGAGGAAATCTGAGTAAGAAGGTTATTAGGCAAGTGCCGAAAGATGTGACCGAAGTTAAATACTGCTTCCCTTAATGAGAAGGAAGAAAAGTGTTTCTACTTTTGAGAGAGAGGAGATACAAAAAAGAAAAAGCCAAAAACCAGAGCAAATAAAAAAGCAAGATGATAAAATCTTAGAAACCCAGAAACTCTGTATGTAAGGTAAAGGATGATTGTATCCCAAAGTAGAACGTAATAATCCTTCTTTCTTTCACTACCAAGTAATGTTAATTTCAGACCTCCTTTTCCTCATTTTCCACTTACTTAGTGAATACATTTTACAGATTAGGCTTTCAGTCCTGGAGCACATGGCTCTCCCTGATGTCAGGGATAACGAGGACTCTATGATGCAACATCCAAAGCAGGCACTCTTGAAAGGCGATCTCAGCAGAGTGTATAGTAGCTTCACCTGCGTCTAGGTGCCGACCTGGAATCTTCGCAGCTATCCTGAGGTCTGTCTCAGTGTCAGACAAACTACTTAGTAAGGACTTTGGTGCCCTTCATTCGAGGTAAAAGATCCACCAATGACAGGATGCTTGCACCTTCCTCACAACACAAACGCTTGTCGAAAGTTAAATTTATTTCTAAGCATTTTATATATTTTTATATCATTCTAAGTGAAATTGTTTTTCACTTTGCAATTGTCTAATGCTAGTATATAGAAACAAAATTAACTTTTATATTAACTTTATATCCTGTAACCTTACTAAATTCACTTATTACTATTTTTTTTTAATGTTTATTTATTTTTGAGAGAGAGAGAGAATGAGAGCACAAGCAGAGGAAGGGCAGAGAGAGGGAGACACAGAATCCAAAGCAAGCATCAGGCTCCGAGCTGTCAGCCCAGAGCCTGATGCCATGCTTGAACTCATGAATTATGAAATCCTGACCTGAGCTTAGTTGGATGCTTAGCCAACTGAGCCACCCAGGAGCCCCACTAAATTTATTTATTAATTTTAGATATTCCTTTAAATATTCCCTAGGGTTTTCTCTGTAAACAATCATGCCATCTGCAAATACAAAATCATTACATATTCCTTTCCAGTTTTTATATCTTTTTTTTTTTTTCCGCCTTATTTCACTAGCTGGGCCATCAATTAAATGTTGAGTATAAGAGTTGAGAATATATATCCCTGAAATTTTTCTGATCTTAAGGGGATGTTATTCAATATTCTACCCTTAAGAATAATGTTAGCTATAGATTTTTAGTAGGTATCCTCTATTGGTTTGAGGAAGTTTCCTTCGTATCCAAGATGGCTCAGAGATTTTAATCATGAATGAGTGTGAGTTTTGTCAAATGCTTTTATCTGCATCTATTGAAATATGATTTTTTTCTTTTATTCTATTGATATGATGAATTACACTGATTTATTTCATAATGATAAATCAGCCTTACATTCATGAGATAAACCCTACTTGGTTATTATATATTTATTGCTGAATTCCATTTACCAGTATTTTCTTCTGGAGTTTTGCAACTACATTGCTAAGATCCATTTGTCAGTAATCCTTTTTGAACAGCCATTGCCAAGTTTTGGTATTATGATAATGATGACCTCATAAAAGAAGTTAAGAAATGTTTCCTCATATATTTTCTGACAGAGTTTGTGTAATATTTGTATTATGACTTATTTAAATATTTGAAGGGGACACCTGGGTGGCTCAGTCGATTAAGACTCTCTGACTTTGGCTCAGGTCATGATCTCGCTGTTAATGGATTCGACCCCCACATCCGGCTCTGCGCTGACAGCTCAGAGCCTGGAGCCTGCTTTGGTTTCTGTGTCTCCTCTCTTTCTGCCCCTCCACTGCTCACACTCTGTCTCTCTCTCAAAAATAAATAGACATTAAAAAAATTAAATATTTGAAGGATTTCACTGAGCCTGGAGCCTTTAGTTTTCCTTAATAGATATTAAGTATTAAGATTTTCAATTTCTTTTTGTGCCAATGTTTTAAAGTGTTTTTCTTTTTCAGAAATTTTGTTCATTTCATCAAAGTTTTAAAGTTCATTGGCAAAAACTTATTTGTACTTTATTGTCATTTGCTATCTGTAATATATCCAGTGATGTCTTCTCTTTCATTCTTAATGTTGGTAACTTGTGTTTTCTCTCTCTCATTCTTTTTTTTTTTTAACTATCAGACTTGTTAGTGGTTTATCATTTTTATTAATGTTTCCAAAGAACCAACTTTTGACTTTGTTGAGGTTCACTTTTCTTTGACTATTTTCTATTTTGTTGATCTGCATTCTGATCTTTGTTTCTTCATATTTAATTTGGGTATAATGGCTCTTCTAATTTCTTCATATAAAACTTTAGAAAAGTGATTTAAAACTTTCATCTTTTAAAATATAAACATTTAAAGTGATAAATTTCTAAGTATTGCTTTAACTATATCCCCCGAACTTTGATGTGTTGTTATTTTATTAATGTCCAGTTAAAAATACCCTCTAAATTTCTTTTGATTTCTTCTTTAAACCCATCAGTTTAGAAGGGAATTGGGTAATATCCAATAGTGTAGATTTTTTTTTTTAGATAATTAAAAAAGACCAACCTGTTTCCTAATTTGATTGCTTTAAGGTCAGACTATATACTCTGTGATTTCCATATTTTGAAATTTATTGACTTGATTTTTGTGACTCAAAATCTGATCTGTCTGGGTAAAAGTTACATGTGCACTAGAGAAGAATGTGTATTCTATAGCATTCTGTAGAGTAGCCTATAAATGTTGGTTAGCTAGAATTGATAGTGTTTCAATATTCTATATCCTCAAACATTTTTACATCTGGTTATTTTGCCAGTTGATGTGGGAGAGATTAAACATTCCATTTTTATTGTGAAATTCTTGAATTCTGCTTTTTGTTATGTCATTTTTATCTTTCATATATTTTGAAGCTGTTTCATTACTTTTATATACAATTGAGACTGTTATGTCTTCCTAATTAATTGATCCTTTTGTTATTATTAATTCCTCCTTTTAATCTCTATTATTCTTGTCTTTAAGACTACTCTATTTTGCATTAATAAAGCCACATTTGGTTTCTTATGCTTAGTGTTTGTGTAGTGTATATTCCCCACACTTTCACTTTCAACTTGCCTATGTCTTTATTGTTTATTTTTTTAAAACTTTATTTATTTTCATTTTGAGAGAGGGAGAGCAAGCAAGTGGGGGAGGGACAGAGAGAGAGGGAGAGAGAGGGAGAAAGAGAGAGAATCCCAAGCAGGCTCTGCACCCCCAATATAGGGCTTAAACCCATGAACTGTGAGATCATGTCCCAAGCTGAAGTCAGTGCTTAACCAGCTGAGCCACTCAGGTGCTCCTAAACTGAGAATCACAAGTCTTAAAATCTTAAGTTAATTTCTATTTTTAGTATACTATTTTGAACATGAGTTCGAAAGAGATTTTTTTTGGTATATATTTTGAATTTTTGAAGTATTTATAGTATTCCCTAAAAAATGTACTCTATTTTACTTCTTAGTATTCCTTTAAAAATGTACTCTCTTTATTTTACTTATTTATTTTTTAATATTTATTTATTTATTTTAGAGAGATCATGAGCTGGGGATTGGGGAGGCAGAGAGAGAGAAAGAGAGAGAGAATCCCAAGCAGACTCCACACTGTCAGTACAGAATCCTGAGATCATAAACTCAGCTGAAATCCAGAGTCAGATGCCTAACTGACTGAGCCACCCAGAAGCCTCTAAATTTACTCTTTTTAAATAGTTATTTTAAAAATAATATTTTATTTCTATATTTTAGTATTCTAATTTTGTTTCACTATAATGTCAACATATTTATCATCTGACTTACAAAATTGCAAAATTTTAGGCTGCCTAAAATGGTTGGATTTTCAATCAAGTTTGATACCAAAAGATATTATTTTTTTGTATTAATTTTTATATACAATGCAAAACCACTTCTCCATGTAAAATAGACCAGAGATGTCCCTTTCATTTAGAACAGGGATAGTTTCCAAATTATGTGTAAAATGTGGTTGAAAAGAATATCTTTGAATAATTTTATTTAAAAAAAGACTCTTCTGTTATTTTAAATTAGTCTTCTCAAGATCAATCCAGTGGACAATTTGTCCCATCATGTCAAAATTATAATGATAGAATTTTTGGAGGAGTCATACAAATTTGCTTCAATACTATCAAGTTCATTTTCTCAGTCTGTGGAGAAGTGACTATAGCCCTAGTTTTAATAAATCTTTTAGGTATGATTATAGTCATTGACATTTATTTAATATTAAATGTACTTGTTTTTCATAGCTTAGAATATACTTGAATGCAAAGAGCTATTATAAACTGGCTTCTTTTCCATGGGGTTTTGTTTGTATCCAAATCTTGTACTTATTGCAGATCTCATTTGATAATCATGCTAAACTGACTATGTCAATCTCAAGAATAGGTTCTATTTTTTGTGCTATAACAAACGATAGTTGTGTTTGTCTACCTATGAATTTGTCTTTTCATTTCCTTGAAAGAAGTACATTGTTAAATGCAGATAAAAACTTCCTTTTCCTTCTTTCTTTTTTTAGAATCGAGTTTCTTACTGGGAAACGCCCAGATTGTGGATTGGCCAGTAGTTTATAGTAATGACGGATTTTGCAAACTCTCTGGCTATCATCGAGCTGACGTCATGCAGAAAAGCAGCACTTGCAGGTAGGTTCTAGAAGAGCTCAGGAATCTTTTCTGAAGTGTAACTAAATGCTGACTGTGATTAAAGGCTAAACTTACAGCAGGTCCCACCTTGTCCCTGGTTTTCCTTCCTGGGGTTTTGTTTCCTATGGTTTCCTACTTCCCCACAGTTAAATACTTTCAGAAGCAGATGCTCCTCCTCCTGATGCAATGTCAGGTCCATCGTAGCCTAACCACCAATGTACCTCCCAATGCCAGTGTCATTCACCTCACTGCATCTCATTATATAGGCATTTTCTCATCTCACATCATCACAAGAAGGGTGAGTACAATACAATAAGGTGTTTTGGGAGAAAGATAGACCACATTCACGTAACTTTTACTACAGTACATTGTTATAACTGTCTAATTCTATTGTCGTTCATCTCTCCCCATGCCTATTTTATAAATTAAACTTTATCATAGGTATGTAAGTATGGGAAGAACAGTGTATACAGTGTTAGGTACTATCTGCAATTCCAGGCATCCACGGGAATTGTGGCGGGACACTAGGAGGGGCACTTGGAACATATCCCCCCCCCTCCCCCCCCCCCCCCCCCAGATAAGGGGAAACTCCTGGTCTTAGACTCACTGTGATGTTGTGATTTATACTAGGAAATATTGTGTATTTGACACAGTTCCTGACACAGGTCTCTTAAAACTCTTGGAATTTTCTGTGATCAGAGAAATAAAAGTGTCTTTTGTTATGTTAATAGTGACTTTTGGAAAGCCCTTAAGTAACCTTAGTGTGGAGGCTGTTACCATGGGAACCATCCAGGTGCTAGGAGGGTGGAAACTTTCAGGACTCCTGCTCAACCACTCAACCTCTAGGTAAGGGATGGCCCTGAAGTTGAATTATCTGGCAATGGCTAAGGATTTAATCAGTAAGGACTTTATAGTGAAGCGGCCATAAACACACAAAAGGACAGGGTTGGTGACTGTGTGGAGGGGCTGGGAGAGAAGCGCACATGGAGACGGTACTGTGTGCTTTCCCCCCCATACCTTGCCTGTGCATCTATCTCTTCGGTCTGGCTACTCCTGAGTTATATCCTTTTAGAGTACACCAGTGATCTAGTAAAGAAAATATTTCTCTGAGCTCTGTGTGCCGCTCTAGCAAATTAATCAAACCCATGACGCTAGCAGAAGCCTCCAGTCTGTAGCCAGTAGGTCAGAAGTACAGGTAACAACCTGTGCTTTCAACTGGTGTCTGGAGTCAGGGGTAGGGGGTTGGTGTTGTAGGACTGAACCCTTCACTATGGAATCTCATGCTACCTCCAGATGGATAGCGTCAGAACTGAGTTGACAACTGTAACCAAACCAACATGAGCTCACTCTTTGGTGAGTCAGAAACTACCTGATGGAGTTGCCACACAAACAAAACTTGATTTGAAGCAAATAAGGAGATCCAGGGGAATGGCTTCCAAAGCCCTCCAGCGCATGGGTGAATGGATTCCTTTTATTCAGGATTAGGATGAATATTTAGACAGGGAAGCCATGTCATTGTATGTTGAGGCGGGCATAAGGGTGTGCATGCATCTAAAGGAAACATGCTTGTCCACACATTGTATGTTATGTGGATGAGGCTTGTGCTTCTCCTTGGGTGGAGATTTTATACGATAATGAGGTAAAGGTAGTTGTGAGTCATTCTAGCGGTTGCCCTGCGGTCCATCTGTGCAGGTGTGAGTCTGAGGCTAAGCTCAAATGGGCCAGGCTGTCTGGGCTGTAGGAGGTCTTGTCAGGGCAGTGGCTGTCACTTGTGGGGTGGATTCACTTTCCATTTGCCTGAGTTAAGAGATAAGCTGGAAAGAAGAGCTTAAGGGAAATTGTGGGACAGAAGTTGGTGAATACAAGGGGCACCTGGGTAGTTTGGTTGGTGAAGCGTTGGATTTCAGCTCAGGTCATGATTTCGCGTTTCGTGGGTTCCAGCCCTGTGTTGGGCTCTGTGCTGACAGCTCGGACCTGGAGGCTATTCAGATTCTGTGTCTCTCCCTCTCTCTGGCCCTCCCCTGCTCATGCTTTGTCTCTCTCTCTCTCTCTCTCCTTCAAAAATAAATAAAAATTTTAAAAAAAGTTGGTGAATACAAGCAGGTAGGCAGTAAAGGTCAGGTCTTGGGAGTCTAGCTGGGGATACAATCAGCTCATGTCCCAAGAATTGTTTATTGGTGTGGAGACTGTTGCCACCCACCTTCCCCCATTGGTACTAGAATTTATTTACACTCACAAACAAAGACTGTAGGGTAAGAACTGTATTAGAATATTAAGGAGACTAAATTGTCAATGGAAATATATAGCTTAAGAGCCACTGGAAAGAACTTGTGCAAAGAAAAATTTTTCGCATATCTGTGAATCTATTAATTCATTCAAGAAATAGTTTTTGAATACCTACAGTGAGCCATGAATTATTCTTAGGGGCTGAGTGATCAAAGGAGCATCCTGTATCAGGCAATCACTGATGGCATCAGCACTTCTTGAGCTGCTAAAACTGTCTTGAACAAAGTAAACAGCCCCCAACCAAGCAGGACATAATTCAGGAACATTTGAAGAACGTCAAGGGGTGCCTGGATGGCTCAGTTAAATATTTGGCTTCTGCTCAGGTCATGATCTCACGGTTTGTGGGTTCCAGCCCCGTTTTGGGCTCCATGCTGACAACTTGGAGCCTGGAGCCTTCTTTGGATTCTGTGTCTCCCTCTTTCTCTGCCCTGCTCATGCTCTGTCTCTATCTCTCAAAAAGAAACAAATATTTAAAAAAATTAATGTTTTTTTAAAGTTTTTTCATCCTGTGTAAATCACATCTACTTTGTAACATTGATACATTGTACCATTGCTATTTTGTTTGGCTTATGTAAAACAGAATCTGGCATTTGTATTATTTATAACAATTCCTTCTAAAATATGCCATATCTGTGAGTTTAAGGAGACTATTAGGAAAAAACAGATCATACAAAAGAAAGGAAATTCTATAAAAGGAACCAGTTTAGATCTGAACACTTTTTCACAGTATTTCAGTAAGGCCAGATGGGATGTTTTTTACTTGAGTTAATTTTTCTTTAAAGCTCTCACTTAAGTAAGCACCAAAATCATGTTACTTTGGAACCGTAATGGGTCTGAATTACTTTCTACTCCACATTCTTTGTTTTTCAAAAGAGAACACTGAGGTAGGGTTATGTTAAGGGACTTGCCCAGGGAAATATAGGGATTTATCTATCTTTTTTCCTATATTTTTATGCTGAAAAAATATATATTCTGCATCTTCATGGAACCCAGGGATTTCCTATTATACCAGTGAGTCTAAACCTGACTACATGTAGGAATCACCTGAAGAGATTTTGTGTAACATAGATTCCCAGACCTCCTCTCTGGGAATCCTCTACTGAATCAAAATCACCTGCAGTGGGAGGTAGGAGAAAATATCAGTACCATCGGCTCAGATGATTCTGAGTTTAGCCAGGTTAAAGTCAAAATAATCTGCTCAAGCATCTTCCTTCACTTACCTTGTCCCTACAATCCTCTTTTTTTCTCTCTGAAGTTATTTTCACATTCGATCTTTACTCCCAGGTCTGAAATTGGCAAGAAAGAGTGATGAAAAACTGTGCCCCCCACCCCCCCGCCATCATTGAGACACTGCTTTTGGTAGCACTGATGTCTTTGTGCCTTTTTCATCCATTGGATGAATATTAGCTCCTAGGCTGACGTTGCACTAAGGTGTGTGTTTTTATGTTCTGGGAGGTTAAGGTCTGTATGGAACTTCTCTGTTCCCTTATGTCTCAGCAGGCTTGCTAGGAAAAGGTTCGTTTTATGGTAGACGTTACTTGTGGAACAGGGGCTGTAGATGCTCTCATGCCCATTTCCTCCTTTTGGACTGAGGACATCCCATCATTATATCATGCCTGTTTCAGATGCCATCTTTCACCTGAAAGTATTTATGATTTCCTCAACAAGATGTAGTTTTCCTCCTCTGACTCCCCTTTGGTTCAATATTTTGCATCATCATCTGGCCTTAAATTAGCTTTCCTCATCCTTTGGGGTTTCATCGCTATTGCTTTGGTCATTGTAGAGACCTAATGCTCTTCATATCTGGATATATTGTAAAGTCCTGCACCCATCTCTTTTTGATTCCATGTATCTGCCTCCACTTTCATCCTGTTCTCTCTGGCATGTGCGGTCTGTCCTACAAAAGGGTTTAGTTAAAAAAAAAAAGCCAGCATGTTATATTAGCATATTCTCTCCCCTAGAAGAATAGCTTTTTAACTCCTGCCACCAGTGTCAGATTATAAGTGCCTTTAAGGTAGGTATGTCATCTCCTTCACTTTTGTATGTGCTAAGGACACAGCTCAGTGTTTCACGTTTGTATTTGTTGAATTAGATTGGCTTGGTTTGCAATAAACCTTAACCCAGGTCTTACATGCTTCTGTATGATATGCTTTTGTTTACTGTATTTCATCCCACAAGTTATGGTATTTGAGGTGGTAAGAGAGCAGAGGACTTTGGATTCTGTTCTGCTTTTTCTCTATGGGAAGAAATATGCAGACCTTCCCCCAGCTCATCTTTCTTCACTGTTGTCAGAGATGGTGTTTTCAGAATGATAATATTCTTTTTTTAAAAAATAACTCTCTTTTTTAGAAAAAGTTATTTATTTTGAGAGAGGGAGAGAGAGAGAATCCCAAGCAGGCTGTCAGTGCAGATCCCATGAACCTGGAGATCATGACCTTAGCCAAGATTAAGAGCAGGATGCTTAATGGACTGAGCCACCCAGGTGCCCCTGGAAATAATATTCTTAATGTAAACAATTATTACTTGGTTGCACAAAATACCCAGTGTGGTTCGCTAACCTAAAAATTGCAACCAGTTTAATGCCTTCATTGAACAATGAATAGTAGCTGACATCTGATAAACGAGCAAAAGATATCTGAGCCTTATTAGCTTTTCTTATAGGCATAATTTATTTTAATGGACTCTGCTTCTAAACCTCCTGGTCCCTTTAAAAA